TATCCACCTATTAATTGGACGAGATCTGCCAGAGGTGCACCATGTATTGTCGCAATTAACTGGACCTACAAAATCCCCCTATGCACAGAAGCTACCGCTCGGATGGGTGATAGTTGGCGAATCTTGCCTTGGGAAGATTCACCCTCCACAGACTGTAAATGTGAACAAACTTTATACGCTGGCTAATGGGAGACCATCGGTCTGTCAGCCATGCCCCAACAACCTCCGCGTAAAAGAAAACACTTGCACCGATGACCATACTGACGCACACGAAATAGGAAGTGATATCTTCTTAACTACCAAGGACGATGATAAACAAGGGAAATCTTCAGAGGATAGGGAATTCATCGATCTGATGGGAAATGAAATGAAAAGGAATTCAAAGGGAACTTGGGTAGCCCCCCTACCCTTCAAAGAATCAAGACCAAGGTTACCAAATAACCGAGCCCAAGCATTTCATCGTGCTAAAACCCTAAGGTCAAGTCTGCTTAGGGATGAGGAAAAGAGGAAACATTTCATAGATTTCATGTCAAAGATACTAAACAGTGGCCACGCCGAAATAGCTCCCGCATTGGATGAACAGGAAGAATGTTGGTATCTCCCTATCTTCGGTGTATACCACCCCCGCAAGCCGTCGCAGATCCGGGCTGTCTTTGATTCTTCAGCAACTTACCAGGGCGTGTCCTTGAACTCAGTCCTACTGCAAGGACCAGACCTTACCAATGAGCTTCTAGGGATTTTACTCCGCTTCAGGCGTGAACCTGTCGCTGTCATGGCTGACATCCAGCAAATGTTTCATTGCTTCGAAGTACAAGAGAACCATAGGAACTTCCTGCGATTCTTCTGGTTTCGTGACAACAACCCAGAACTGGAACAGATAGAATACCGAATGAAAGTCCACGTCTTCGGCAACAGACCGTCTCCAGCGGTTGCAACATTTGGCCTAAGGAAAGCAGCGCGTGCCGGTGATGCAACGTTTGGAAAAGATGTCGCTGACTTTGTTGAGAGAGACTTTTATGTAGATGACGCTGTCGCATCATTTACAGATAAGGAAACAGCAATAGACCTCTTGAAAAGGACAAAGGACTCCCTTGCTACAAATGGCAACATACGTTTACACAAAATAGTGTCTAACAGCAGCAATGTTATGCGCGCATTTCCAGCAGAAGACCTAGCAAAGAATCTGAAAGACTTTGACTTAACGACAGATCAGTTACCTATGCAGAGAACACTAGGAATCTCATGGGACATTGAAGCCGACATGTTTAACTTCAGCATCTCAGCAGCAGAGAAACCATTCACCAGACGAGGAGTACTGTCAGCAGTGAATAGCATTTTCGATCCGATAGGGTTCTTAGCTCCAGTGGTGATTGAAGGAAGAATGATCCTCAGGGATCTTATCTCCAGTGGTGTAGGGTGGGATGAAACCCTTCCTCCAGAACATTACGACAGATGGAAAACTTGGAAGAATTCCCTCAAATCTCTCGAAACTCTCCACATTCCTAGAATGTTGGTTCCTGTCTCTTTTGAACTCTCCACAAGCAAAGAATTTCATGTGTTTACCGACGCTTCCGAGAAGGCGGTAGCTGCAGCAGCCTATGTGAAGGCGAAGAACGATGAAACGGAAAACCCAGATTGGGGATTCATCATGGGCAAAGCTAAGTTAGCTCCTGTGAATGGTCACACCATCCCTCGCCTCGAACTATGTGGAGCAGTTCTTGGTGTGGACATCGCGCTTGGAGTATCGAGACACCTTGGTATACCTTTGACTGATATTGTGTACCATACGGATAGCAAGATAGTTCTGGGATACATCTCCAACAACACGAAGAGGTTTTCAATATACGTCACAAACCGTGTAGCCTATGTGAGAAAATACTCCTCACCAGGACAGTGGCACTACATCTCTTCACAAAAAAACCCAGCCGATCAAGCTACAAGGCCTGTAGCTGCCAACCTCATGAAAGACAGTCCGTGGCTCCTTGGACCAATCCAGGACCAATCAGAAGACGATCAGCAAACACCTGATGTGGTCATAGACAAAACACAAGAGGAAAAGACACCTGTTCAAGACAAACCAAAAGCCAATACTAACTGTCTAGGATCCTATAGATTTGAGAAATTTTCTCAATGGAAAAATTTGGTGAGAGCAGTTTTATCTCTAAAGAACTTTGTAAAGTCAAAACTTACAAATGGGAACACTGACGATAACTCGGATGGAGCGGGCCCACATGAACTCTCTTCGACAGAAACATTCATAATTAAAATTGTTCAAGGGGGAAGTGTTCAGAGAAGAAATGCAGTGTTTGAAGACAAAGTCTTCGATTGCAAAGAACAGTTCAATAATAGCCTTGAGCCCTTTCATAGACACTCACGGTGTACTGCGCGTCGGCGGACGACTAAGAAATTCAGAACTTCCATGTTGTGAGAAGAACCCGGCAATAATCCCAGGAAAGCATCACATTGCTTTACTACTAGTGAGGCACCATCATGAACTTTCACAGCATCAAGGTAGACATTTCACCGAGGGGGGCTGTAAGGGCCTCAGGTTTATGGATAGTGGGTGGGAAACGCCTCATAAACTCTGTTTTACACAAGTGTGTGCGGTGTAAGATGTTCCGAGGTAAACAGGAATCTCAGAGAATGTCAAATCTACCAGAGGACAGGACCAGACAGTCTCCACCTTTTTCTTACGTTGGTGTGGATACCTTCGGCCCATGGGAGGTCGTATCTCGTAAGACAAGGGGTGGGCTGGCCCACAGCAAGAGATGGGCCTTACTCTTCACATGTCTAGTCACTAGGGCTATTCACATCGAAGTCATCGAGGAAATGAGTTCGTCATGCTTTGTCAATGCTCTACGTCGCTTTGTGGCAATTCGTGGAAATGTGAAGCAGTTCCGTTCTGACAGAGGGACCAACTTTATTGGGGCTACAGAAATGCTCCAAGTGGATACTGTAAATGTTGAAGACACCCTGATCAAGGACTTCTTAGATGGTAAAAGAATCAAATGGATCTTTAATCCACCCCACTCCGCGCACATGGGTGGAGCATGGGAAAGACTGATAGGTGTAGTGAAAAGGATACTTGGCAACATGACAAAGGATGTATCTTCAAGGAAGTTCACGCATGAAGTACTCACTACGTTCATGTGTGAAGTGTGTGCTATTGTGAACGCTCGACCCATCACAGCAGTATCCAGCGACCCAGAGGACCCCGAAATACTGTCCCCGTCAACTCTACTTACACAAAAGACATGTCATGAGGTTGTTCCTCTACAAGGGTGTCAAGGCGATATTAAGGATCTATATCGCAAACAGTGGAAACAGGTACAACTACTCGCAGACACTTTCTGGAGCAGATTTCGGAGTCACTACCTCAGCACTCTCCAGACTAGGTCTAAATGGACAGAGGACAGACCTAATATCCAGCGCGGTGACATAGTGCTACTGGAAGAGAGGAACTGTAGTAGAAATGAATGGCCCAAGGCCATTGTGACTGAAGCCATCAAAAGTGATGATGGTAAAGTGAGGAAAGTGGTGGTGAAAACTAACCGCGACGGACAACCTGTGTGCCTAACCAGACCTATCGGTGAACTTGTTGTTCTGCTCAGAGCAGAAAATTGACATTTGTATTAGGACGTTGCAGAATTAGTGCCTTTTTGCAGTTAAGGTTTTAAATGATTTCTCTTGTAGTCCATCCTGTTTGATGTACTTTGATCAAAGTTGTTTTTTGCCTTTTTTATATCTGTTTACAGTTTATATTAAGGGCATTGTCTGCACCAAATATATTGTGCTAAGCTACGGAATGTCTCATAGAATTGTTCCCAGTTCAAAGGAAGGATAATTTCTGCCTTTATTACATAATGCTTGGTGTATTTTAATGTTCTTAATTTCATGTTATATTTTAAGTGTCCTTTTGTTATTTTTCGGTAATATATCTCATGATATATTAGGCGGGGAGTGTTACGTTACATCAGTAACAGTAGTAGATTACTCCTTCTGAACAGGATTTGTCACATTAGGTTGATGAAATTATCTCCCTTTGATTACGTCCGTCAAAGGCGTATTTTTTTTTATAACGGTCTTATTTAACGTCAGGGGTTTAGAGTTATCGCGCTTGGCAAGCAAGAGGCTCCGGCCATGCTTTATGGGCAGTAAAATGGAAAATTAGGAAATAATAAGTCATCCGATTGCATCGGAACATATAGGACAACTAAGATGTAAGTACTCTTCATTTCTTACGTCTAGAGTATTGTTATTCTACTTTTATGTACCTGTTAGGGCAAATTTAGTGTAAATTAAAGTGATTTCATCTATCGGTAAAATAGCACAGGTTTTGGTCACATGCTTTATCTACATATAGGCTCGATTGCATTAATTTCCGTACATTTAATTTGAATTTGTTTATTTTCACTCTGTAAAGTGTATCTGTCAGGAAAGATACATGTAGTAAATTTGTGTGTATGTTTTACCTAGCCTAAAATGGAGATAAATTTGATGTAAGGAACCCTTTGAACTTCGTCAACTTATGCTATTGTAAAAGGTTTGTAATCAGGATATATTTCACCTTTCAACCTGTATCAATTACTGTAGTCTTATTTTGTATATTATCCTATCTGCTTCATGTTATAAGGTACAGTTACTTTGAAATAGGACATAGGATTTATGGAACTCCATTGTAATTCAGGCCTTTGTTTTGTTTACAGCTTTTTACTATATATAAGCGATCAGTGTAATTTCAATCTAAGGACTGAATAAATACGACACTGACAAGCAGTTTGCGTTGACGTCAATACACCAGAGCGCAGACAGCACATTGTGGTCTGGGTGAGATTTGTGTTCATATTTAATATGATACCAGAACAGAAGAGAAATAAACATGACGACATTGTAAGGTTAGGGTGGCGATGACACCTCTCTTGACCTGAATAAGATGGCAGGAGGATATACAGGTCCTTCTCCAACATCTGAACGCCCAACATCACCGTATGCAGTTCACCATGGAATCAGAAGCTGACAACAAACTCCTCTTCTTAGATGTCCTGGTCCAGAGACAAGGAAACAGGCTCAACACCAGCGTGTACCGCAAGCCAACCCACCAGTATATCTATTCCTCCTCCTGCCATTCTATTCAGGTCAAGAGAGGTGTCATCGTCACTCTAACCCGACGAGCCAAAAATATCTGTTCTACACCCCAATCTCTTAGTGCCGAGCTGGACCACCTCAGATATGTTTTCACCAAATACAACGAATACCCTTCCCCCTTTGTCACCCAGACCATCAACAACACCCTCGACTCAACAACCAAACCGCCCCGACAACAAACAGCCCCCTTCACTATCAGTCTGCCATACATAGGATCAACTAGCCATCACATCCGAAGACTCTTGAAGCAGCAAGCTGACATTGACGTCACCTTCCAAAGAGGCAACAGCATCCAGAACCTCTTGCAAGCCACAGGAAGACCAAGGTCGTCCCAGAAGCAAGACCCCTCAGGTGTGGTTTACCACATAGAATGTGACTGCGGTGACTCCTATGTTGGAGAAACATCAAGGCCACTCACCCTCAGGATCAAGGAACACCAGGCGTCAGTCAGGAAAAATTATTCTAAATCAGCCATTGCCGACCACATCAAAGCCCATCCTAACCACAACATCAAATGGGACAAGACCAGAACCATAGTAAGGAACCAGTCAGACTACAAAATCCGTAAACTTTTGGAAGCAGTACACATCAAGAAAATAGGACCTGCCCTCAACAGAGATGAAGGATACTACATTCCCAGTGCCTACCATCACTTGATAATATAATCAATAATATTCCTTGTGTACATTACCTGTTTCATTCCAACCATGTACATCAACCCCACCAAGTGTATAAACATCCACCTGGCTTCCTATCAGTTATATAAGCTCTAACTCAGCCCTTGTATGTCACCCTTTTGGCTTCCTATCAGTTTACTCTATCTCTCATACAAACGTTGTACATCAACCTCATCTATTGTATAAACAACTCATTCCCTATCTACTGTAACAACAACTCCTGTATATATTCTCTCAATTTGTTGCTCATGTATCACTTGCTTGACAACGACATTAGAACCTTTGTCGAAACGTGCCTCCACAGAATAAAAGAAGCTGTATATCCATAATAATTGTCATTATTCTTAAACCTACATCATCAGTTATATCTAAACCTGGACGATCAGTTATATCTAAACCTGGATCATCAGCTATATCAAACCTGGACCATCAGTTATATCTAAACCTGGACCATCAGTTATATCTAAACCTGGACCATCAGTTATATCTAAACCTGGATCATCAGTTACATCTGAACCTGGACCATCAGCTATATCTAAACCTAGACCATCAGTTATATCTAAACCTGGATCATCAATTATATCTAAACCTGGTTCATAAGTTATATCTAAACCTGAATCATTAGTTATATCTAAACCTGGATCATAAGTAACATGTATATCTAAACCTGGATCATCAGTTATATCTAAACCTGGATCATCAGTTATATCTACACCTGGACCATCGGTTATATCTAAACCCGGACCATCGGTTATATCTACACCTGGACCATCAGTTACATGTATATCTAAGCCTGGACCATCAGCTATATCTACACCCGGACCATCAGCTATATCTACACCCGGACCATCAGTTATGTCTAAACCTGGACCATCAGTTATATCTAAACCTTGACCATCAACTATATCTAAACCTGGACCATCATTTATATCTAAACCTGGACCATCATTTATATCTACACCTGGACCATCAGTTACATGTATATCTAAACCTGGATCATCAGTTATATCTAAACCTGGATCATCAGTTATATCTAAACCTGGACCATCAGCTATATCTAAACCTGGACCATCATTTATATCTAAACCTGGACCATCATTTATATCTACACCTGGACCATCAGTTACATGTATATCTAAACCTGGATCATCAGTTATATCTAAACCTGGATCATCAGTTATATCTAAACCTCGACCATCAGCTATATCTAAACCTGGACCATCATTTATATCTAAACCTGGACCATCATTTATATCTAAACCTGGACCATCAGTTACATGTATATCTAAACCTGGATCATCAGCTATATCTAAACCTGAACCATCAGTTATATCTAAACATGAACCATCAGTTATGTCTAAACCTGGATCATCAGTTATGTCTAAACATGGATCATAAGTTATATCTAAACCTGGACCATCAGTTACGTCTAAGCCTGGATCATCAGTTATATCTAAACCTGGACCATCAGTTACGTCTAAACCTGGACCATCACTTATATCTACACCTGGATCATCAGTTATATCTACACCTGGACCATCACTTATATCTAAACCCGGACGATCAGTTACATGTATATCTAAACCTGGATCATCAGTTATATCTAAACCTGGACCATCAGTTACATGTATGTCTAAACCTGGACCATCAGTTATATCTAAACCTGGACCATCAGTTATATCTAAACCTGGATCATCAGTTATATCTAAACCTGGATCATCAGTTATATCTTAACCTGGATCATAAGTAACATGTATATCTAAACCTGGATCATCAGTTATATCTAAACCTGGATTATCAGTTATATCTAAACCTGGATCATCAGATATACATAAACCTGGATCATGTTATATCTAAACCTGAATCATGAGTTTTACCTAACCTGGTTCTTCAGTTATATGTAAACCTTGATCATCAGTTATATCTAAAGCTGGACTATCATTTATATCTAAACCTGGACCATCATTTATATCTACACCTGGACCATCAGTTACAGGTATATCTAAACCTGGATCATCAGTTATATCTAAACGTGGATCATAAGTTATATCTCAACCTGGACCATCAGCTATATCTAAACCTGGACCATCACTTATATCTACACCTGGATCATCAGTTATATCTAAACCTGGACCATCAGTTACATGTATATCTAAACCTGGACCATCAGCTATATCTAAACCTGGACCATCACTTATATCTAAACCTGGACCATCAGTTATGTCTAAACTTGGATCATAAGTTATATCTAAACCTGGACCATCGGTTACGTCTAAACCTGGATCATCAGTTATATCTAAACCTGGATCATCAGTTACGTCTAAACCTGGACAATCACTTATATCTTAACCTGGATCATCAGTTATATCTAAACCTGGATCATCAGTTATGTCTACACCTGGACCATCACTTATATCTAAACCCGGACGATCAGTTACATGTATATCTAAACATGGATCATCAGTTATATCTAAACCTGGACCATCAGCTATATCTAAACCTGGACCATCAGTTACATGTATATCTAATCCTGGACCATCAGTTATATCTAAACCTGGACCATGAGTTATATCTAAACCTGGATCATCAATTATATCTAAACCTGGATCATCAGTTATATCTAAACCTGGATCATAAGTAACATGTATATCTAAACCTGGATCATCAGTTATATCTAAACCTGGATTATCAGTTATATCTAAACCTGGATCATCAGATATACATAAACCTGGATCATGTTATATCTAAACCTGAATCATGAGTTTTACCTAACCTGGTTCTTCAGTTATATGTAAACCTTGATCATCAGTTATCAGTTATATCTTGAGGTCCATATGGATCTGGGTTATGGAATTTCCCCCATGGAATGCTTATTACCTTTTCTCTAATTGTAATACTTGCATTAAATTGTAATAAACTTGATGTAAATTGTAATAATAACGTAAATTGTAATTAAAAATTGACGTAAATTGTGTTACGCAAATTGGAATAAAAATTGACGTAAATTGTAATAATTTTCGTTACGGTAAAATGTAATAAATATTTACGTAAATTGTAATAACAGTTTTAATCTCTCGTATATACGCGTGTGTTTGTTTGTCGTTACATGTCATACATCATATAAGCTTGTTAGGGCGATAACTCAAGAAAGAAACCATGGACTTTGTTCAAATTTGGTACCAAGGTATATTGGCGGGATTCACCGACACCAGTGAAATTGAGTGGCCTTGAGATAATTAGCAAGGTCACAGCAAAAATCTGAGGGTTTTGCCAATATAAAGATTGTTAGCGCGATAACCCAAGAAAGAATTGACAAACCTTAGCTGAATGACGAAAATGACATTGGTCCTGATATATAATCGATATAAAATCTCTAACTGTCCTCTGTATCATGTCTTTTCGCAAATATCTGTAGAGGTTTGATATACAGTCAAATCCCGATGAGTCTAATGCCGGTGTCTCGAATATTATGCATAACTCGAAGTACCTGTCGGTCCCGACCATTCCCTGTTATAGTTGTCATCATTTGATTTCCTGTTACACGAATTCGTCTCATAAATACACACGATGACTCGAGAAGGAAATTTGGTCCCAGGACATTCAAACAACAGCAATATTGTATACATAAGCCGAAGTCAGTCAATGAGAAGTTGATTGGTGTAGCAAACTGATCCAATTAAAAAAAAAGCGCGGCTCACACCTTTCCGCCATTGACAGGTGAGTTCAAAAGGCAGATTATAGTACTGTCGGAAATAGAAAAAAACTGTATTTTCTCATTTATCTCTACAATTTATGTAGTTCATATGTGAAAGTGTGAAATATCTGTTAAACTAAGTTCGGCCTAACTACAGTTTCGGTGGTAGAGAGATAGGAAACGGAGAAAAAGGACATATGTATGTATGTATGTATGTGTGTATGTGTGTGTGTATGTGTGTATGTGTGTGTGTGTGTGCGTGCGTGCGTGCGTGCGTGCGTGTGTGTGTCTCAAACCAGTATATCTAACACACGTACCTGCATGTAGAGTCGGAGTAGTGGGTGGGTGTTCTAAGGAGTACATCTACGAGGGTCATTCAAAAAGTAGTCAGCATCACCTATAATATGATACAAATGCACAATTTTATTTTTCTACATATTATCTGTCAGCTCCAAGCAAATAGGTTTTGCTATGTTCCAGCCTCACGATCCCCATTTTGTGTGACTTTGTATTTTGTCTTGGTACTCCCAAAAATTGTAAAGTCTGAAATAAAATGCATCACAAACTTCAGGAAACAAAATATGCAAGAAACATTTGTGTATACTTGAGATTGGTAGAATTCCGCTAGCATGAAACTTAGATATTGAACTGCACAAAAAAAGCAATTTGAAACTACAATCGCTTGTTCAAATGACTCCCCCTTCTGTTTACTGAAAGAACTCGAGAAAGAAATGATGGATTTTGTTCAAATTTGGTACCAAGGTTTATTGACAAGATTTACCAACACCAGTTGAATTTAGTGACCTTGAGGTCACAACGAAGTTTTTAAAGGTCACAGCGAAGGTGTAACAGTTTGGTACATGCCAAGCTTGGTAGCCGCGAACTCAGGAAAGAGATTTTGATCCAATTTTATATCAAGGTGTTTTGGCGGGATTCCCCCTACACCGATTGATTGGAGAACTTGTGCTCATTTTAAGTTTACAGTGAAAATTGTTTTGCACATGTCTAACTTTTTAGTGCGAAAACACAAGACAGAATCAATATGTTTTGCTTAAAAGTAGTTTCAAGATGTGTTGGGAGTATCGTCTAACGCCAGTCAAATTCAGTGACCTTCGGATTATTTTCAAGGTCACAGCGAGTATTCTTGCGATATCTCCAAAACTAATGGATGGATTTTTTTTTTTATTTCACTTTATTTCTTTTTCGCACTGGTACAGTTTTATCCTTCATACACAACAATATTTCAAATACATAACACAATTAAAAAACAAGCATAAGTGAGATCGAATAGATCATGTAAACAAGTTGTGGCATGATAACCAGAAAGTCGTGAACTTCTATATTTGCATACAGAGTATGCATTATGTTTATGGAGATTGTAACTGTGGTTTAATTTGGCTTTGAGACTTTCAAGGGTTGGACGTTTATTTGCTAGTTTTCTGGAATATATATATTCCTTTGTTATGATAAATATCAAGTTCAGAACATCGTTACGTTTTTCATGAAAGCCCAAAAGGACTTTTTTCGGATCCAGGTTTGTAGTAGTGTCTGTTTTATCTTCACTCCAATTTAAAGGTCTTGCCACAGCCTATTTACGTATCTGAAATTCAAACAT